TGAGTGAAGATCATGAGACGAAGAGATAGGGGTCAGTTTGAAAGGAACCGAGAAAATGAGCTTGGGTGAAAAGGGCCGACTTGGGGATGGGTATCCAAAGGAGGTTAGGATTTGAGAGTTGGGAAGGTAAACTAGGCTAGACCTTGATGAGGGGTTTGAAATATTATCATCCAAGATTTAGGCTGATCGGACTCGAGAACCAGGGGCGGTGTTTGGCTGTGAAAAACAGGGTCGGGTGCTGGAACCAAGATGGCGCGGTGGCTGTCGTGCCCAATCTATTCCAGCGGGCCGAAAATGCCAATAGATGTTACGGACGGGGTATCCGTCGTTCTGCCAAAAGAAGGAACCTGGACGGATCTAGAACCGGCATATCAAACCATGATGTTGGGCGACAGGGATGCCTACCTTTGGATAAAAATGTTGTGGACCAAGGTCAAACTAACCCGGTTACCACCAAGCCTGGCGGATTTGGAATTTCGGGGGAATGTGGAAGCCCGAGGCTAGATCTACCCGTTTAAGGAAGGGGAGAACGCAATGGTGGTAGGCTCGGCGTTGTCCCGTACCAATTATTCAGGCAGGCGGAAGAGGAAGTAGTGTGGGCCGCGTGTCAGCGGGTGGAAATGGAAATGGAAAAGATGGGTGTGCGGGTGAAACTCGGAGATAGAGGGAACGTAAGGCGGCCGTTCAGGACGATGAGGTGCACCATGCCTCCGTTCTTGGTGGACGCTGTCTTTAGGCCCCGGAGTAGGCTGGTGTCGATATGCCAGTCCATGACGAATCTCAGGTTGTACCAAGGTGGCCGGCAGGACTTCTTTCGTCTATCAGTCGAAATGGGACCCTTCGAAGGGAATTGGGCAAAGAAACTGGCTGAGATACTAAACTGCCTCAGCACGGATGAAGTGTTTGTCCCGAGTTCCGTCCATTGGAAGATAGTCTGTCGGAACGTGGCGATAGGAGAAATGTTTGCGGACGGGTTGAGAGATCTATGGTACGAGGAAGAGGACGATCTTACCGATGAAAACGAAGATGATGCAGTCGAAGACTGAGACTTTTGAGGGAAGGGTCCGTGGGGCAAAAATGATGGGGGTGGTTGGCATTGTGCAGGGTACCAGCATGGCTAGGGAACAACGCTTAAACAGCCGGATGTTTAGGGGGTGGGAGCCAAGACAATTCGAGGGAGGAGTAGAGATGACCCTACCAACAAGAAATGAGTGGAGAGGAGCGACTTGTGACTGGGTAGGGGAAGCAATCGCATCAGAACTATCGTTCCTATGGGTAGAAAGAGTATGGAACCTGTTGAGGGGGGAAGAAGGATGGGACGACATAGCTGAGGGAAATATAGAAGCCCTCGGGACGGTCTACTTATCAAGAAGGGGGTGACATTTGTTCTGCGTAACGTTGGCATCTAGGCAAGACCCAATGTGGATCTTAGGAGGGGCCGAGCGACGGACTCGTGATATGGGTTATGAATTCGCCAACGAGGGATGGGATGAGGTAAGCAGTAGTGTTGCAATAGGGGGTTGGGAGGAATTCAGGCTGTCATGCCAGATAGTTCAGGCCTGGGTGCCGCGCTTTGTGGCAGACTGGTTTGGAGGATATGAACGCATCGTCGTGGTGGCGGAAGCCTTAGACAAAGGAAACTTGGGCTTTTCATGGTTAGTCGACGCTTACTACAAGATCTCGTTGGAAATGGGACCGTTCCACGAGGATAGGGCAAAAGAAGTCGTCAACATCCTGAAAATTTTTAAGGAAGACCGGCTCGAGGTGGACAACGGGGCCGAGGATGCGATACTTCGCCGCGAGGTGGCAGCGAGCCCCTCGTATATAGGAGATGTGTTCCTACTGTTCGAAGTACTATGGGTATAACCGAAAGATCAGCACAACGGCAAGGGCGACAGAAAGGATGGGGTAAGAAGGCAAGAGGATAGCTAGCGATGTTCATAGGAGCGGATGAAATAAGAGGAATTCGCTTTCTGTCTGAACCATGCAGGAACCCACCAACCGGCAATGGTGATGAGACGCATCCGAACGTCGCGACGACCCATGCACCCTCGACCACCCACGGAAAGCAGTAACGGATGGGAGGTGTCGCTCCCAACAAGCTACGAGGTCCGGGGGATTGACACAGAATAGAGAGTTGTGACCTTGGGAAGGGACCAAGCCTTCATGATGGTGGAATGCCTATGAAGCGGCATGAGGTTCAATAGGGGGCCGGGAGACGACTCATACACCGACCTGAGGGTGACCGGGACCGTGTACTTACCTGAGATTGGATGGCGCATGCTAGGAACCGAGATGGCACTAGGGCATGGGCTGCTGCCAATCTTCTGAAGGGCCGCCATGGCATTAAACCGGATAGGCCAGGAAGTTCGAGGAAGAAGGAATGTGGGGCTAAGAACCCGGGTGGAAGTAGGAGGATGGCGAGAGTTTAGAACCCCAATGGCAGGGTTGCGGTGCCGAGTACCCCGCTTTATGATAAATTTGGTATTCGACAACCTCTCGAGGGCAAGGGACTTGGTGAACTCGACCCTAACCTGGATTCACCATTTCCAGCCACAAACGACAAGAATGTTTTACGATGTGTCGGTAAAACATGGGCCGTTTTGGGGAAATTGTACCCGTGAATTACTAGAACTCATCGAGATCCTGATATTTGGGGCGCCACTCTTGGCCTTTGAAGAATATGAACCAATAATTATCAAAGAAATAGGAATGGGGGAAAAGAACCCGACGAACAGGACGGGCGTGAGGAACCCGATATGAGAAAAGTGTCGGGGAAGGTGGCAAAGGAGAACGCTAACAATGGGATGATAGAGACAAGAGCAAGAATAGCGATCTGCGGGGGGGTAGTGGCTGGAGTCCTACGCCATCTAAGGGGGTGCCAGAGAGGGACTAGGATGACCACTACTACTACCAAGGACGTCAGGGTATCCATAGGCTGGGAAGGCAAAAAGGTCATCTTCGAAAGGACCCACCCGCCATGGACACGCCGCCTTAGAACCGAGGCACGGTGATGACAAAACACCGAAACCCGGCAACAGGCTTTCCAGCAGGAAAGGCAAGCGGTACCCGCAAAGTGAAGACGGACAGGCCTGCTACCGCCACTATAAAACATAAATATTGAAATAGCAAAGGTAGGGCGACTGTAGCAAGCCTTAGGGCGTGGAAATATGGAAAGTTGTGAACAACTGGCCATCTCAGAATTTTTTTTTCCTCTGTGCAGGATTTGAAAAGGATGGCGACAGAAAAGGAAGCAGGAAGCCTGCGAAGCAAGGGGAGTCAGGGCACAGAGAAAGACGTAGAGCAGAACAAGGGGTCCGTGAGGGACCAAGAATCAGCTAATCCAGAAGGTACCAAGGAAGGAAGGAAGTGACAATCGGGGAAAGCTCGGGAAAAACGGGAGGGAGCAAACGAGGAACTAAGGAAACTAGGGGAGACAAGAATAAAGGCAGTTCGGCGCCACAAGTATCTGAGGGCGCACTGCCAAAGAAGGTAACGCTAACAGACACCCGGAAGAAGCCAGCCGAGATAGAAAGGAGTATAAAGCAAAACTCCTGGAAGAGATGATGAACGAAGGCGAGGGGGACTTCGCCGGAGAAGGGCTGAATGAAGATCAACCAGGGGCGGGGGAGCCAAGACGATGCTATAAAAAGGAGGAAGGATAGGAATGGGGAGCGTAGGGAGACGCCAACCAAGAAAGGAAAGGAGAGAACGGAGTCCCCAGGGAGGGAGGCAAAAAAGGCTACCAACCCGCCGGCCATAGATAGCGGGGCAAGCCGACCAGCGGTGTCGCCCATAATCGCAAGGGGATGCGAAGGGCTTTGGAGCTTAAGAGAAAGAGTGTTAGGCTGGTTCGACCCGGAAGGGACGACAAAGCTCGAAGAAGAAACGAGAGTCGGTAAAGAAGAACAAGGCTCCGACACCCCCGATGGAACAGGAGGAACCGAGGGCGGGCTTAAGAAAATGATGTCTTCCCTCACACGGGCGCTAAATAAAAATCAGGGATACCTGGCCGACGCTTAGAAGAAGCTGACATTCGACGGGGTTAATATCACAAAATTCTTGATAGACTACGAAAACTTAGCAGCACTGCTAAGGCGGAGGGAGGAAGAAAAGATGGAGCACTTAGGGCAGCATTTGTCGTTGAACCTAGGTAGGGACATAATGACTATCGTCGCGACCAGCGGATCCTGGACGGAGGCCCGGGACGTAATGATGCGGAAATATTTGGCAGCCGAGAAAATGGCTACGGAGACAAAGCTGGCTGCAGTACAAAGAAAGAACTTTGCAACATATAACGATTTCCTGAGGGAATTCACCCTCGTAGCATTGCGAATCCCGGGGGTAACCGATCGCATAATGAGTAAATACTTCCTCAGGCAATTCACTGAGTTCGACAAAGATAAGATCCTATCGGCCTACTAGCAGACCACGAAGTTAATGAATACACGGGACGTCGATTTCAGCACCGTAACATACATTGCTGAGAAGATGGTTGTAACCGACTCGTTGGCCTTACTGAAAGGAGGAGAAGTCATAGACCTAACCGGTAAACGGGCGACAAGTTAAAGAGAGGGATAGAAAGCCTGCATGAGCGTGTGCACGGGGTAGACGGAAAAATCGAAAGCGTAGAGAACGCATTGATGGTAATGCAAGCCCAAGTGACGCAAACCCAAGCATCTCGACCCCCCCTCCCACCACAAGAGGCGGTGGCTCCCGCAGGAATAGCTAATCGGGGGTTCAATAGGAGAGATCCGACAAATGAGCAATGCAAGTATTGTACGATGGTTGGACACTTTGTGCGAGCGTGTCCAAGACTTAACCATGATGTCATGCACAAGAGGTGCTCCAGGACGTTACGAGGAGAGATCATAGGCCCCCGAGGAGAGAAAGTGAATTGGAACTCCCCGGGTGGGATGTGTCGGGCCGTAATCGCACTTAACAACCTCGACGTCGCCACAGTGGAGGCCAAGCCCGTGGCGGAGCTCGCTTGGGAACAGGGGCGAGGACGTGGGCCGCATGCCAATTTTATTTTAGAGAATGACGGGCGAGATAGGGTGAACGTGACCACCAGACACAGGACGCCGTCATGGAAGTCGCTGGGGATGGCCCGGGGATGCCACAAGAAACTGAGGCACATGAGCAAGAGAAAGTTTATGGGAAACCTAGAGAAGAGGCTCCGGTAGACAAAGCTGCCTCGACGAAAAAGAAATTCCGGTATCAGATCCCCATTCTAACTATGCCCGAGATCGATGATACCCTTAGCAAGTTGCTAGGGACCATGGTGTCGGTCTCTTTCCAAACCGTGTTGCAGGCAAGCCCCAGGCTCCTGAAAGGCCTTAGACAACTATTGACAAGGCGAAGAATAGAGGTAGAAGAAGGGTCGGAACAGCAGGAGGAAGAGAAGGAAGAGGAGGCACCAGGAGAAGTCGCCAACTTCCAAAGGATCCCCGGGGCCCTGAATGAGCTAGAGAAGGCCTTCGCAGACATCCGGCTAAGCCTGCCAGACTGTGAAGGTGGTGAGGTTATGAGGGCACCACCAGAGACAAAACTTAGCTTGCACGTACTACCGGTGGGTAAGCTGAAAGTCCAGATTGGAAGCCACCACATCGATGCGCTCGTAGACGGAGGGGTTGAAATAACGCTCATTAGAAAAGACTTTGCAAAGATTACGGGATGACCAGTAAACAAAGAGACAACGGGAAGCGTTTGTGGGGCAAGCGGGGAAATTCCCTTCTCTGGTATGTTATTAAGTGTGCAGTCAAGGTCGGGGTTAAGAAGTCCATCTGGTCGTTTCAACGGATGACTGTCATGGACGAAATGGACCATGACATAATCCTTGGGAGACCTTGGTGTGCAAATGTAGAGATGATCGGAATCAACCTGCATGATGGAGCATACATGGTGGACATAGAAGACCCGGTGACAAGTCGTGGTGAGCTATTCCGTCTCATCGTCACAGGCGGTGACACACCCATAGGGGAAATTAGCAACATGGTCACCATCGTTCGAAGAGAGTGCCAGAAAGGGGGCTTTCGCGCGAATGGAAGGAATGAGGGAAAGGGTAGAAATTATGATCGAGGAAGCGTTCAGCAAGAAAGAATGGGTCAAGATGGGGTTGCCACAAAAAACGCGGAGGCAGGAGGACGATGTCCTGGGAGTAATGGTAGTGGAGAAAGAGACGGAGGTCGAATTGGGAGCCAGCTTGCCTAGACCAAGGGAGGCCTGAGAGGAGGAGACCGGGATAACACTGGAAGTCCCGGACTTACTACACCTCATCAAGGCTATCAGATACCATAAAGTAGGTGTGGATCCAATCGAGCTCGCCAAGTTTGAAGGAGAAGTCCGAAAAGGCTACTGCCTGAACGAGAAATTAATCAGTATCCAACCTCGGATTGCCGAAGCACCTCGGGCAATTTCGGTTGTTCATTTTTTAGGAGAAAGATCTCGGAAGGAAGCATTCGCAAGTACAAGCTAGTAGGGAAGAAGGTCAAGCCTGTCTCGGTCCTGCTAGAAACAACAAAGGAAGAAGCCATGGAAAAGGAAGAGGAAGTGCTCCAGGTGATTAAAGAAAGAAGGGCAACAGAGGGGCATCGAATACCAAACGAGGTAGCAGAGACCATGAAGATAGGGGTGGAGGGATGCCTGACAGAGCAGGAGACGTGCTTGATCAAGGAAGCATCCCAAGAATTCCACCTAGCTTTTGCCTTCAACGACCATTAGAAGAGACGATTAGACGCGAAATTGAAAACTCCGGTCAGGATCCACACAGTAGAGCACAAATGTTGGAATGACAAGGGGCTGGCCTACGACTTGGAGTAGCAAGGGAAGTAACAAAACTGCTCAGAGCAAAGATGGACTCCTTTGTGGCAGAACCCACCGCGTCACCATACGCAAATAGATGGTTCGTGTTCGGGAAGCCTAACAAGTCGCTTAGGTGGATCGAAGATCTGCAGAAATTGAATGTTGTCACCATCCAGGACGCGGGGTCATTGCCTCAAGCAGACCTGCTGGCGGAATCTCACGTCGGACGAAGCATTTACTATTTGGTAGACCTCTATTCTAGATACGATCAGCTCCCGCTGGACGCCCGGGATAGACCCTACACGACTATGCATACCCCGATAGGTCAATTGCAAATGTAAGTGACTCCTATGGGCTTCACCAATGCTGTGGCGGAAGCATAAAGAAGGATGCTCGCAGTTGCAGGAGATATGTTCCCCGCAAAATGCGAACCGTACATTGACGACAACCCAATCAAAGGCGCACGGGACAAGGATGAAACGAAAATTCAGCCAGGGATACGAAGGTTTGTGTGGGACCATCTGCAGGATATCAAAGAGTTTCTCCGCAGGTTCTTGGAATACAACATCACTACCAGCGGCCCCAAGAGCATCCTGGCAGTGCCGGAAGTAACCATCCTAGGATTTCGTTGCGGGTCATATGGGAGGAAGCCCGATCCGGCCAAAACGGGCAAAATCTCTCAATGGCCAACGCCCCTGCGAACCACAATGGAGGTAAGGACCTTTCTAGGGGTTGTAGGATTTTGGAGGATTTTCATCAAAGGATTTGCAAAGATAGTCGAACCCATTCGGGCCATGATCCGCGATGAGGGCACGCTCGATTGGACGGAGGAATGAGAACGCGCCGTCCAGACCTTGAAAGACATATTGACATCTGAACAGGTCACCCTTGCCGCCCCATGTTTTAACGATGAGATAGGGCGTCCGTTTGTGCTTGAGACCGATGGGGGACCATTAGCCGTGGGAGGAGTTCTGATCCAAAGAGGGGAAGATGGAAGGGAACGACCAATCAGGTTCGAGAGTAGGACGTTGAACTCAGTCGAGCGTCGCTACTCTCAATTCAAGAAAGACGTGCTGACCGTTCTCCACTGCCTTAAGACCTTCCAAGCCTACCTCTTTGGGAGGAGGTTCATCTTGAGAATAAATCCGACCAAACGTCGCAGGGGCTCTAAAGAATTACAAGCCTATAGACCCCACCGTGGGAAGATGGGCGGGGTTCATTTAGCACTTTGACTACAAGATCGAGCGCATAGCCGGTCTCAGGAACAGGGCCGACGGCTTGAGCAGGGTATGCATTACACTGGAAGGAGTAGAGGACGCGAAACCTATCGATGCGTTCCTCGATTACAAGGGAGGGACCCTTGCGGTAGAGACCGAAATGATAGAACCCACTTGCACGTCTGGGGAATTGCTGATTAAGACTTTAGAGAAAGGGTCTCCCGCAGTGGTGGCAGAACTCAGGGAAGGGGCAGTTACAAGAACCAGCCACAAGGAAGAGAAAGACTCGTGGGGTGACATTGTGGGGCCTCAGGAAGAACTGATGGCGATGGCTGTAGAAGGAGGGCGAGAGGCGGTTATGAGTTTGGTTGAGTCATGGGAATAGAAGCAGCAGCAGTACTTAGTAAACCAAGTGCGGAATGGACAGGAGGATCGTCAGGATCAGAAGGATTTTTTCCTTATCCGATCGTACGATGGCATGTTCAAGGAGATCGGCTTATTACTAGTGGGAAACAAGGAGGCTCAGGAGGTTAGCCTCAAGGCCAGAGAGGAAGCCGATAAATACGTACTAAGAAATGGGCACCTATTCAGAAAAGAGTAAGGCCTAATGCCTAGAAGGGTCGTATGTGGACGATCAAAGCAAGCTGACATAATTAAGGCAATGCATGATGGGTTGGTTGGGGGACATCGCTCCTCAAAAGGAACCCTGGCCAAAATAGCGCCACTCTACTTTTGGTCGGGAATGGGGAGTATGATTGCCACATACTATCAGACCTGGTTGATCTGTCAAGAGCGGAGTACGACTCGAGTCTTTGAGCCCCTGAGACCCACGCGAGTGCTAGGACCAGGGCACCTGGTTCATCTCGACCTCGTAGTCATGCCTGTATCCACGAAAGGATACAGATACATACTTGACGCTAGAGATAATCTCAGTGGGTTTGTGGAGGCGGTAGCCCTTAAGAAGAAAACTGGACCGACAGTAGCAGATTGGATCGAGGACTTTACCTGAGGCACCCATTTATCAGAAGATAATGAGACACAATTCGTGAATCGAGACGTGCTAGGTACATGCAAGAGACTCGGGGTGCCCATCAAGTTAATTGAGCCATACCACCCCGAAGCTAATGCACCCATGGAAAGAGGGCACAAAACTTTGAAGAACACGATCGCAAAGTTATCAGCGGACGATCTTGGGAATTGGCCAAAGTACCTCAAGCAAGCAGTGTTTGCAGAAAATGTGACCCCAAAGAGGGCCACAGGATGTATTCCAGCCGAATTGTGGTATGGGAGGGAAATTGACTTCCCAGTAGAATCCCTGGTAACAACTTGGGGCAGGCTGGATGACGACCCGCGCCTGACGACGGAACAACTAAATTGAGACTAAATGTCGATAGATCATTCAAAATCAGGAGGCAATGGAAGAAGTCGTAAGCAGGGTTTCTGGATAGTAGAATGAAGGACAAGGCAAGGTGGGATCAGTTGCGGAAAATCAGAAAAGAACCACTACAGATGGGAGAAATGGTCCTAGTCAGGAATTCCGCACTAGAAAGTACTTGGTTAGGACAGCTGGGGAGAAGATTCAAGGGCCCCTACCGGGTCGCCAAGAGACTGGGGGTGAACACTTTCGAGTTGGAAGATTTGGATGGGACCAGGGTAAAAGGACCGTTTCCATGACAACGGCTGGTCAAATTCCTAAGTCGCGACCCAGTGGAACAGTAGTTGCAAGAGGTTCAGGACAAGGAAACTGGGGAATAGGGTGACTAAGGCGCCAACGAAAATCTTACCCATGATGTGGTTTGTGTTTTTTGGGGATGGGTTTCTGACTGTGCTTATGGATTGCATGGGGTGAGTGATGTGGCCGGGATACTATACCATAGTTTTTTGGGGGGATAATGTTGGACGGAGACCGAGGCATTGTACCATAGTCTTTTTGTGTATGAGGGATGGATGGTATCGGGATGATTGTCTGGGGCAACCTACCGCGCTCGAGAAAAATGCATGAGATTCAAGGGAGACACGACACGATTCATCATATGGATATGGGGTGCATCCTTGGAAATTTGGGCAACTCCGTCATCATGAGGAAGTGGGGTTTTGGGTTCATCTATTACTTGGACGGGGCTCCACCTTGGGAATTTGGACTGGGGCTTCTGTTTTCCTTGTGATGACAAGCACAGGGAAAGCACAAGACAAGATGGAACTTAATAACGAGAACAATGCCAATCGCGCTAACGTGGCTTTCGAAGATGAGTGGCAAAGAACCGAGAGGCCACGAGACAGGCAAAGACCAGTATTATTCATTGGGCCACAGCCAAGACGGGCACTAGGAAGAAGAAAGAGAAAGATGTTGGCTCGCAAAACTTCGCCCCTTAAAGAAGGCGAGAAATTGCAGCCCTTATCCGAAGAAGAAGGGGAGATACAAGGAGCGGAGGAGAGAAGAGAGGAAGAAAGGCAAGGTATGGGACAATGGGGAGAGAGGAGAGGAAGCAAGACAAAACGAACATGACAGCGGTGAAAGAAGAGGCAAGAAAAGAGAAAATGTGCATGACGATTGGGAGAGAAGTGAGGAAGCGGAACAGAGCAGGCAAGACAGTTGTGAAAGGGGGTGCACGGGTTTTGGGGACGAGACCGAAAGAAGGACGAATATCCCATGCAGTTTAAATTCGGAAAACTTTACGGGTGAATTCAGTCTCGTACAAGAGGAAGAAGATGAGAGTGGGGACGAGGTGCAAGAAGTCATTGCCATCAGTAGCGGCGATGAAACAGATGAGATCTCAAGGCCTAGGGCTGAGGGGCAACCTTCAACAAGTAGGCCAAGAGAAGGACCCTCGGGGTGGGAAGAAGAGTTCGGACCCACACCCAGTCATTGGTTCGAGCAATGGATAAGCGTGATTAAGCACGATTGGATTATCAGAACCCGAAAACTAATGAGGGCCGAAGTGGCGGTTACACCTCTGGACTTCTACAGTGAGGAAGAACTGCGAGAGATTGCACAAAGGAAAAGAGAGATCATGGCCGCCGGCCTGGGAGCGGAAGGACCAGCCAGGCGCGACGACGAACGGGCACCCAAGAGACAAAGCACTGACGACCCAAGGAGGGACTAAAGATGAGGCAAAAGCTTGGCGAGAGTTGTCGTTTTTTGCAATAAGTAGAGGAAATATTTGACTAGTATGAATGAGCTTGTTGAGGGCAAGTACGACAGGGACAAGTCAAGACCTTAGCTTAATAGGCAAGAAAATAGTATTTGAGCTACTTTTTTTGGATGCGCTACCTCAGATGGATCTTGAGAGAAATACATTGGCAAGGGACACAGGGTATGAGACTAGCTGGGATGGGACAATTATGAGCGTTGGACAAGACAGAGATTGTGCCTTGGATGGGAATTATGAATATGGATGAATTGAGCACGAAAGAGCATTGAATTACAAATAAGTACAATTAGGGAGCCTATGGATAGGGCGGCACGAGGATGTCCTCTCCTAGGAACCTAATCCGACCAAGTCAGGGTCATGTCACTAGAGACAAAGTTGTGAGAGTGAGCAAGAGTGAAAAAGGCAGAGGGACTCGCACTTGATCTATGGTTGAACGGTCGGGCGGGCTAGCACTTCCTGAGGTTGAAAAAACTCCGCTTGGGTGCTAGACGCTATGTCGGGTGTATGAATGAGGATGATGGAATTGAGCAAAACTAGGTCGAGAATAAGAAGAAAGATACGGCACGCTGAAAACTGCAAACAGTGCAGCCTCCTAACTCCCCAGTAAAAAATCGGATCCGTGTCCTCAAAGCCCATCCCCTCGGGCGCTAAGCATTGATAATGGAAAGGAATGACCCTAACCAGGATCTTCGACTCGAGAATGGAAAGGAATGGCCCTAACCAGGCTATTCGACTTGGGAATGGAAAGGAATGGCCCTAACCAGGCTGTTCGACTTGAGAATGGAAAAGAATGACCCTAACCAGGTTATTCGGGAATGACCCCTAACAAGGGTTGTTTCTTCTGAAATAGGCATTGGGGTCTCCTTGCATGACTGCTTGAGAAAGGCTGATTGAGAATGAGCTGGAATGAGAAACATGTGAAATGGAGAAGGTCAGTGGGTCGGTCATTGAAATAGCCATGAGAAAGGATGAAAGAGGAAAAGGTGAGAAGGGAAAAGGTCGGAGAGTCGGTCGTTGAAATAGCCATGAGAAAGACGAGAGTGAAGGGAAGAGGCCGAGGGGACGGTCACTAAAACAACCTTGAAATAAGATTGAGAAGAGAAGGATTGGAGGGCAGGATAAAAGAAGGCGGACAT